TGTGAAATGTTTTATTTCATAAATATATATATATATATATATATAGAGGCATTCTAATGATGTTTAGCATCCAAAGATATTGTTCATATGAAAAGTGGAAACAATGAAAAAATCAAATTTGGAATGAAATTATTGTGTTTGATTAACTAAATTTAATATATATTCCCTCTGTCTGATCAAATTATATCAATTTTCCTTTTTTGTTGTCTTACCCAATTATATTACTATATGGAAAAGGTAAAATTTAGTAAGTCTAATAACAATTAAATATTAACTAATTAAAATTATGTATTTAAGGTGTATTTGTTTATTTATTTTTTAGTTTGAAGTATTTTTATGTTAAGTATGTAAAAATGCGCCGATAAAATAAATAGTAATATTTTGTATTGAATTATTGATTTTTTATGAATATATAAAATAGATATTATATATTATATGAACGTGTATTATATTATATATTTTCTTATAGTATTAATTGTGAAATGTATTAGAAGTTTTTTTTTTTTTTTTTGTTAGGTGAACACATCAAAATTTTTTACCTAAAATTGTTTCAATAATATATTTTTAATTTAAGGTAAAAGATATCAAATTTTCGAAATATCTTGCATATCATATCGAGAAAATATCAACAATTTCAAACTTTCGGTATACTAAAACTTTTAATACGGTATGATTTTATACCGAATTTTTTCGATGCGGTATCAGTATATAATTTGACATTATCGATATATATCAAAATATCGAAACTATTTCGATATACAATTAAATTATTTTATATTGTATTTATATTTTGGTATTTGATATGTCGGTCTATATATATATATCGATAATTCGTTATATTGATACCAAAGTTATTGTTTTTTTATTTTTTTTCAAAATTATAACATTATTTTTAATTTTAATATTTTGAAACAGTATATAGCGATATCTACAATATACTAAATTTGAATTATCAGTACGGTACGATATATTTGTTACCAAATTTTTAGAATACTGATTTTTCGGTACAATATCAGTATATTTTTTAATATAACGAAAGTTTTAAAACAGTATACGATATGACTCGGCATTTTCATTACCTTGTACCGAATCATCCCTATTTTTAATTACATATAACTAGAATAGATAAAATTGAGTATAATTCAAATATCTGAATCAAATAACCAACAAACAAAAAAGAAAATCAAGTGGGGTTGGGCGAGCTAATTAGTTTTAAAAAATAAAAATAATTTTAATTTCTATTAGTGTCTTATAATACTAATAGAACGACGTTTATACAAATATAAAAATATTTTTAAATATTAAATACAATGACACAAAAGATAAATATAAATTTATTAAGTAGACGGAGGGAGTATTATATACTGTCAAAATATATATTGTATATTATATTGTCATGCGTTGTCTCATAGATATTATCTGTAGTATATACGTGTATTGACGGGATCGAATAAGTACGGTGCTGATTTGACCCGATTAAGATCGTAATCAAAGCACATTAAACTTTTTGTACAACATTTTCTTTATAAACTTTTCCCCACCCCATCAAAATAAATAGATAAGTATATACAATAAAAAATTGACTTGTTACATTGATACTTTGGGGGTTGACTTGGGATATAAATAATTTCATGGACAAGAGTGATTGTTGTCAAATTTCAATTTGAATGCCAACCCTATAAATTTAAATACAATTTTGGGACAACATAAGATCGTATTAAAGCATTGAGGTTGACCAGAAACGAATATTTTTATCTATATTTAAAACTTTTTATTTTTTATAAAATTACTTTTATGTTAATTATAGATAAATAAATATATTTTTTTATTTATTTGTATTATATAAAATTTTATTATCTATAAAATAATATTCATATTGCATATATTTTATTGAGAAAAAAAATATTTCAATTTATTATTAATAATTTACTAATCTATATTACCTGAAATACAGTGTCTCTGATGAAATGGTTTATCCTTGCCGGGACGGAGAGAATACTATAACATATCAAAAAGCAACAAACAAAAAGATACATTTTAAAATGTATCACTTGTTGAGTAAAATCTCATCCAATTTTATTTTCATTTGACAGGGAACGAGTTTTCAGAAAAGTGAGTGAAACGAGAATAAATTTAGATAACAAAAAAATGAGAATAAATTTAGATGACAAAAGAATCACTATACTCATTTCTTTTTCTTTTTCTTTTTACACAAATTTTTTAATTAATACTACCTCCGTCCAACTGTAAGAGTCATATTTAATTTTTGCGTGTTAATTTTTTAATATTAATTATTATATGAAAATGTAGTCAAATTAAGATAAAATGACAAAAATACTTGTATTAATGTCTTATAATACTATTATAATGCCATTTTTGAAAAAAATATACATATATAAGAATATTTTTAATGTTAATTATAATGATGCAAAAAATAAATGAGACTGGACAGAGGGATATATTCTTAATAGTTTTTTCTTTTTTATCTTTATGCTTCTGTTTTTTTTACTGAGTATATTTTTATCAATGATTATTTAACAAAAATAAAATAGGAAAAATGTATAAATAAATATAAAAATTTTGCAAAAAGTTCAAAACATTCGAAATTAAAAATAAGATAATAATTGAGAAGTAACATGATTCAAAATCAAGAATGTAGTAAAAGAGTAAGACTTTATTGAGACTTATAAAACTAAAAAGACAATCATAATTTTTGTAAAACAAATAATTCTCGAGTTTCTAATTATTATCCCAATCATACTTTTTCGCCAAAGTAGTCGTAGTGACACCATGGTAAATACCATCTCGTTTTGCTACCCAAGTATCATGGTTCCACTCAACAAACTTCGATTTGAAAGCGTCGAATTTTTTCTGTTTCGATCCCCACCACAGATGACAAAAATACAACGTATTCAAAAACAAACTGTCGCAGAAAGCCCAAGTAAAAGATTGACCATTGGAAAGATCATGATATCCGAGATCTCTGGTCTTCGAAGCACAATGAATCCGCAATGTTGTAGAGTCGTTGAGTTCATTGATGACCCAAACATGATTTCTATTCCGAAGAAAACATGCATTAGTGAATGAAGGATGAAACAAAACTTGCATGAAAATAACTAGATATAAGATGATAAATTTTCCCATGATATATACTTTTGTTGGGATTTTAACTCTTTTGTGAATTTTTTTTTATTTCATAAATATATATATATATATATATATAGACATTCTGATGATGTTTAGTATCCAAAGATATTGTTCATATGGAAAGTGGAAACAATGAAAAAAATCAAATTTGCAAAGAAATTATTGTGCTTAATTAGCTAAATTTAATGCTTATTCCCTCCCTCTTATCAAATTATATCAACTTTCTATATAAGGTTAAATTTAGTAAGTCTAATAAAAAATAAATATTAACTAATTAAAAATATGTATTTGAGGTGTATTTGTTTATTTTTAATTTGAAGTATTTTTATGTTAGGTATGTGAAAGTGGCGCGATTCGTTCAACCTTTTACCCGTGCAAACCAGGTCCGACGGAAAAGACACGCTAGGCTATCCCTTACGGGACTTTTTAAAATGGAACGGATGAAGTATATATTATATTTGTGGACATGTATATTATTTCTTTGTGTGCGTCGATAAAAATGAGTATAATCTAAAAATCTGAATTAAATGACAAACAAACAAAAAAAAAAATTCAAGTGAGGTTGGGCCGAGCTAATTAGTTCTAAAAACTAACAATAATTTTAATTTTAATATTTTAAATATATATTTCAAAATTGATTAATACTAACTACATATTTGGTTAGCTTTGAATATGTAATTAATTTTATAATGTAAAATAAAAAATTGATATTGTTAAAAAAAATGATAAGTAGTAAAAATTTTGAAAAAAATATAACTAAATACAAAATTATTTAATTTATAATTTAAATAATTATAATAGTAATTTATTACAAATAATTTAAATTTATATCTATTTCTTTGTATACAGAGGAAGTATTAAATAAAAAATGAATTTAATATACTCCCCCTATATCTTTTATTAGTATTTAAAATTTAGGATATATTAAAACTTTTATAATTTTTCTCTATTTACCCAATATTTTTCCGGTGTGTTTGTTTCCTAAGATTATTGGAAAAGAAAAAAAAAAATTGTATAAAGTATAGAAGATTATGCAGTAAAAATAAAAATAATGAATGTGTATAATATATTAATTTTTTTTAAAAAAATATATGTAAAAAATAATATAGAAAGAACACATACAAATCATTTTTACTCTTCTATATAAATTTAGAAAATCATTCAAAAAATTGTTAAAAATATCTATTAAAATTATATTGCAAAAAAAAAAAATCATCCCACCAAAACTACAATTTTTATTTATAATTAAAAAAAAAAAAAAAAACACTCTCACACACTTCTCAATTTTTACCTTTTCAAGATTACACTTATTTATTAATATACAACTACATACACATTGAATTTATTAAAAAATAAAAAATAAAAATTCTCACATCATTAACGCATAGTATTTCTCAAAATATTCTCACTTTGTGCTAAACATAACAAATACATAAATAAAAACTGAAAATATACTATAATAGTTCATCAAATACATAATAATTTAATTTCAATCATTGGCTGAAAAATAATTGCTCATATGCTTAGTAACACTCTAATCTAAAATTCTAACAGCCACTATACATGCTATAGATATGATTAAATAAAATTATGTTGTAAATTATTACCTTCGACTCCAAAGATCTCATTTACTTTTTAAATGTTAATATTTAAAATATTAATTATTATATCAAAACATAGTATAAATTAAAAAAATATTGCAAAAATATTTTTCGTTAGTATCTTATAATACTAATAGAATGATATTTGTAAAAAAAAAATAATACAAATATAAAGATATTTTTAATGTTAATACAATGACGCAAAATATAAATGTAACCCTTAAATGCGGTAAAAGAGTATAAAACACAAACTAGAAAGTAAATACACTTAAAAAGTAGGAAAATAAACACAAAGTAGAAACTTGGAAACAGTTTACATAAGATGGTGAAAGTCAAGACCTTAAATTTTGGTAGAACAAAGATTAGAACACACCATACCATAGCCACGCCGACACTGTTTTCTTCGACAGCATTTTAATGCCGCGTGTATGTATCAATAAGTACACAGCAATTGAAGAAGCCGAAATGCGAAGAGGAAATGCAAATTAGTACAGGCTTCCCCATTCGAAGAGCGAGGTGTTAATAGTGAAACCTGATAAAAAGATATATATATATATATATGTGTGTGTAATATACAAATGACACCAAACAGCAATGAGTCGAGCACTCAGGCAACCACTCACCTCGTGCTCTTCTTCACCCTTCCTCGCCAAACTCCTGCGTGAATCTCTCGTGGACTTCAAGGTCTGTTTTGCTGACAGTTGGTCTTTGTCTCGCAAGGACCTTGTCAAAGTCGGTTTTTGAGATGGGAGGTGGAATGATCTACAAATGCATCAATTAGGGGTGAGATTAACTTAGCTGATATCGAAACAAATATGGATTCATGTATAACATTGCTGAAGTTGACTATATACTTCATTATAACAGTCGAACAAAAATAAATTTGAATTCTGGACAATAACTACTTGGGCACCATTGTATGGCAAACTTGCTTATAAATTCACCCGTATTTTGAAAAGTTTGCACCATTCTCTCTCATTAATTAGAAACTAGAGGCTCCATCGTTTGCTATTTTCAAAAGATTTTGTGCAATAATTTTGAAAACACAGGCAATTTTAGAGAATTGTGTACAATATTTTAAAAAACATGCCTCATTCTAAATCACGAAGGATTTGGATGCAAATTTTTCAAACCACATGTGGATTATAAGCAATTTTGCCACATTGTATTCCACGCCCCACTATGATCTTTATCTAGTTAATTGACGTTAGTTCCACAAAACATCACTAACCGCGAGGTTAAATTTTGTTCCAATTTTCCACTAAGCAAATATAAATCCATCCCATCAATTCTGACTACAGTAGGTTGTATGATTCTACAAGACCGGCAACCACCAGAATCAGCTACTTGCACTCATAAACAACACAAAAGTACCAACTCCCAGCGAAGATGCAGAGAATTTGTTGAAAATAACGAGAAATAATAGATACTCAAAAAGTGTATCAAATTCAGGTTCTATTTTAATTGGGTTATAGACATCACAAAAGGAACACATGCATTTAGACATTTTACGACATTCAGACAGATCGATGTGCTTATTTTGGGGGAAAAAACTAGAAATACCTGGGAAGCAAGTCCTTTTGCTGCAAGCTCCTGCATGCTTATCTGGACAGCACCTGATTGCTTCGGTCCACACGGCATCCACATGCCATTAGAGGTTTTAATGAAGAACATGGCATCCTGGGTTTTGCGCACAGGCTCAAATAGAACATCTTTCACCTATTGAAAGTAAGGGCATTTCCGGCGTACATTAGAAGAAAGCATAAACAACATTCAGACAATTTTTCAAAAATAGTAAATGAGGAATAAACCAGCAGCACACTTACACAAACAGAAATATCAGAACCAGAAAAGCCTTCAGTTTTACGAGCCAGGGCTTCAAAGTCGCTTTCAGTTAGATTATGAGGAGTATCTCCTAAATGCACCTGCAGAAAAAGTAGCAGGCGGCAGGAGAATATTAATCTTCAAATAACAATTGATTCCATGCCCATAATAGGATGAAAGAAAAGATTCCCACCTTGAACATATGCTGTCTTGCCTTCGTATCCGGTAGAGGGATATATATACGCTTGTCAAATCGCCGTCTAATAGCCTATTGAAAGAATGAATGTTAGGTTAAAAAATGTAGCTGTGGACAAACATATACTTATTGAATGATATACCTGATCAAGGGCATAAGGAGTATTCGTTGCGGCAAGGACAAGTACTTTGTCATCATTGTGACCAACCCCCTAAAAGTCAAAAGAACAGAGTAGGAAATTTGTAAATATAAAAGCATTATCTGCATCGGATAAGGCAATACAATGACAAAGAAAAATAAGTGTTCCCCAGACACATTCACCCCTCAAAGTTAACAGTCTGCAAAATGATGTATTCAGATGCGTGAAATATCATCAGATCACTATTCCAACCAAAATCCTCTAGCTGCGTTCTTTTGTAGATTTCTTACAAGATTTTTACTATTGATTTTATTTTTTCCCTCCAAATATATCAAATAAAAATATTTTTAACTTTTTATACTTATTATACTAAAATCAATTTTACATTCAGAACATCACACAAACAACTATTCAAATTCAAATTTTTACTACTAAAAAATCCAAACCCAAAAGTCAAATCCACACAACAAAACACAATTGTATGTTTGAATTGGCAAATTATATAATTTATGTACAAAAAGCCAAAGTAAGCTAAGCCATTCTCAATTTCACTTAATAGATGTTTTATAATGTTTACAAGAATATACAGCGGCAGGATCAACAATTACGATGATATACAGAATCAATGATGGGAGTGTTTTGTTTCCAAGTTCCAATATGAAGGAAGGCATTAAATATGTTGAACAAAGGAACAATTTCCTATAATCTCTTGATCGATCCACATTACACTTACCTGCATTTGCACTAGAAGTTCTGTTTTGATTCGCCTGGATGCTTCACTCTCATTTCCTTCACCACGCTGTCCACATAAGGAATCTATCTCATCAATAAATATAATTGAGGGGGAGCTTTCACGTGCCATTTGGAAGAGATTAGAGACTAGCTTTTCACTTTCACCCATCCACTTCGAAACCAAGTCTGACGAAGAAACACTGAAAGACAGCAGCAGTTGGCACTTGCCAACTTTATGACCTGAGTACTTGATCATGGAAAAAAGAACGAAGAAATCGCAAATACAAAGATGCATTAAAGAAAGTGCATCCTTCTATAGACCAAAAACATGAAAACAAGTTTTATATGAAACAAATTACTCCATGACCAGTTAAATAAGAAATGAAATCAGTGTATACAAAAAAGACAAAGCCAATCACTTAATAATGAATTTGGTACTTCAGGTTATGTCCTGGTAGCTTAAGCAAAAGTGGAACCTGCACCCTAGTGTTCGAAGATCATCAAAGTTCCTTAAAAAAAAAAGAAAAAGAAAAAGCACGGAAGACGTACTTTCATTGTTATTTGCCCCAAAAACAGATTCCATTACCCAATTTTAACAAAATTATTCCACAGATGCAAATTTAATGAGCCCATGCTGGAAACCATGATCAGCTCAATTTCGGTAATAGGTTTCTCAATCTTGATTTCTAGAAAATTAGTGCACGGTATTATCAAGTTAGGACATAAGACATCTCTTTGAAATAGAGCCATTAGTCGCATCAACTACACAACGTAGCTAGCTCCTTGGGACATCCACTAACAATGCTATGCATTGTCTCAATTCAGAAAATTCTTATCACAGCATGCAGAAAGGGTAAGCACAAAGGAATAGAACCCGTTATGTCAGAATGACACCCACCAGAAAACCGCCAAGGATAAAATCCACAAATAAACATAAGCTATGGAGGACAAGCAAATTCTAATCTCATTCCAATTTCCTAACACAGACTATTTTTTAATATTGTCATTTTGCATTTCAAACATTCAACTTAATAATAGAGAATTAATCTCAACAATCACTTTACACGAAATATCGTCATCTGAAAGAGGACAAAAGGAACTACGTGCACTAGATTGCCAGGACCATGCACTATTAAGATGGAGCTTAGAAAGCTTGAAATCGAGTTACGTACACAAACCAGTTAATCTCTTCTAATATTACATGAAAGCATTAAGCACATGAAGATAGGATACCTTTATCGGGGACTAGGCTATCAATGAAATAATGTAGAAATGAATATGAAACTGAGAACAGATAAAGTACCTGAAAAATGTTGAGTCAGCTTCTGTGGCCACAGCCTTGGCTAGGTATGACTTTCCTGTTCCAGGTGGACCATACAGAAGAAATGCCCTCCACGGGCGCCTCTTACCTGAAAGTACATGTGTTAAAAACTTAGAACTAACGTAAAGCTCCAAAACTATGGGTTTATCTACCTGTGTGTGTGTGTGTGTGGTTTTTTTTTTTTTTTTTCTTTTTTGTGTTTTTCAGTTTTGTCGTTCATGAGGTGAAAATATTGATTTGATATAGTTGAATGGAAAATTGAGTGTTGGAAGTGATATTTTTGAAAGGATATCGAGAGATTGAGTAGTAAAAAACATGTAAGAAAAATGAGTAAACAAACCCTATAAAACCATCTTTTCGATAACCACAAGTTCACTTCTTTTTAAGTAATATTCTCGAAGATAAAAAGAGTAACCATGCAGTAACTATACAAAAAATTCTTATACTTTATATCTAAGATACTCGTTCAATTAATCGAAGCAATTTCATTCAAAACAAGAATTCAAAACACCAGAATTCATTCACAAACAAATCAATCAGCTGCAGAGACGATCATCAGAACTGATTAGATAAAACAATGAAAAGAGCCACCTAAACCAGATCCTACCTAAGCTTTAGCTTTACAAAATTCTCATATTCTATCTCTAACATATTGATTCTATTAATCAAGGCATTTCTTTCAAATAAGCATTCATAAAAACTAATCAATCAGCTGCTGAGACGATCATCCGAACTGATTGGATGAAACAATTCAACCCAACAAAACGTTACACCTTAATTATCATAAGATTGCACCCACAACAACTCCTTCGAAGATTGTTCAATTTCGTTTTTCCGATGAAATGGGAACATAATCAATCAATCTAGCAACAATTCAGTAACATTTCAACTTAGAACCCTAAAAATTCGAGACCAAACGAATTAAACAATACGAGATGATACCAGTAAAGAACTGCGGGAATTTGACCGGTAGAATCACGGCCTCCTGCAGCGCCTGCTTTGCACTCTCCAATCCAGCAACATCGTTCCACTTAACATTGGGTTTTTCCCTAATAATCGCCGAATTCAAACCGGCACGAAGCTTCTCCTTATCCCCATCCTCCCCATCGTTCCCGTCCTTAGGCTTGGTCTTCGGCCTCGTCGCGACGGCGCCGTCGCCATTAGAGGAGGGACCAGAACCCCCTTCATCGAGCACGGCACGGATCTCCTCCGCACGCCGCAAGTACTCGGTAAACTTCTGCGTGATCGCTTCCTTGATTTTAGGGTTCTTCTCGTACTTGAGGTGCGTCCTGAAATACTCCAAGGCGTTCATGTACAACGGAAACGCTTTGGCGTAGTTCCCGGCATTATCTTCGGCGACGGCCTGCCGTACGTACTCGATCGCTTGCTCCTTGAAATTGCTGTACATCGCCGCTCCCTTTTAATTCTTGTTTTTTCGATCAAAAATTGAAAATTGGTTGAATTCGAAAGGTTTCTTCCCCGGCCCGGAAATCTCTATTGGGTTTTCAGATCGGGAAGGAGCGAAGAAGATGCAGAACGAAGAATTTTCATGTGGATTGGAAGAAGGGATTGAAAAATTAGGGTTGGGGAAAGGGGGTTTGAGATTGAGAAATACAAACGCGCTTTGAGAAGGGAGATTGACAACAATCGCTATATGTATACTTTGATTTATTTGTTTAATTACTTTTACTGTTTTTTTTTTTTTTTTTTAATTTCTCGATAAAAATATTTTTTCTGGCCTATAAAAAGTTTTTATTTTAATTTTAGTCAATCTCAAAATAAAATAAAGTACTTAATTTTATTTTTTATATATATATATATTTTTTTGTAATGGTATTATTTATTTAATATTAAAAAAATAATTATTATGTTGACCTAGTAAAAATTATATATAAATAGTACATACTTTAATTTAATATATATTCAGTAATGAATTGATTTTTTTTATAGTATAAAAAATTGCATTGATAATATAAAAAATAATATTTTTATATTAAATAGTTAGATTTTTTATGGATAAATAATATATATAATATATTAATGTGTATGTATATGTGTATATTTTTAATGGGATAATATTTTAAAAAACATATTAGATTGATTGTTCTAAATATCTATAATTCAACTGAACAACGGTCAATATTAAAAATACTTTCACAGTTTATAATATGGAGTATTAAATAAATGTTACTTGCTCGTTCCACTTATCATATCCATATCGTCCTTTCTATCCGTTCCACACATTTCATGTCATTTTTTTTAAAAAAAATAATTACCCATGTTAATCTCATTTAAAATTTTCTAATTTAATTTTTTTAATTTTAATTAAATTAATTAATTATTTTAATATTAATTTATAGATTAATTATTTTCACTAATACATTTTTAATTATCTATTAATTATACTTATCATAAATTCTCGTATCTACAATGACAAAGACACCCAATGTGGGCCAATATGGGACGGAGGAAGTATTATTTTTATAATTAAAATATCGCTATATTTTTTTAAAAAAAATAAATAAATAAATTATATAAGATAAACAAAAATAAAAAAAATTTAAATATTTCATGTGGGACGAAAAAAACACTAATTCTTTAAATTTCACGTACAAAAAGGAAATGGATTTTTTAAGGACAAATGAGTATTAAAATTGAAAAAGTACGGGTAATATGTTTGTAGGGTTATGGGTGTTTTTTTTTTTTTTTTTTTGAGATAATTTGAATAAAAAAAAAATTAGGTATAAAAAATTATATAAAAAATATATAAAATTAATAAATATATATGATATATTAATATTTTTGAAAAAATATATAAACTTTTTTTATTGAAAGAACACACCCTATATGTTTTTATAAATATTTTACTCAAAAACTTAGTGTAATTATTTATTATTTATTTTTTATATTATCTTAAAATTAATTTTATATTTACAATTTTAAATTAACACGCATTTATATTATATCAAATAATTATTTTAATTAACAAAATGTTAAATCAAATATAAATAACAAATATTTGTTACTAGTCTTTTTTATCTTAAGTTTTTTTGTATCATTTAAGTAAAATAATTATTATATTATTTTTTTGAATAAAAATAAGAGTGTGTATGTTTTATATTTTGAATGTGATTGTTTTATGTGAGGTATGAAAATGCATATTAACAATATAAAAAAGTAATATCTAATATATTGTGGAAATATGTATATATAATTAGTAAATAGTTAAAAATATATGACTAAATTGCACAAAATCTACTTGTGATTTCACGAAATTGCGCCAAATCCCCAATACTTCAAAAACTGCGTTAAACTCCCTCGTGGTTTCATAAACTCTGCGTCTAACTCCTTTGACGCTCCTTATTTAACGGTATTTGACCTAAATGCGCTCAAATTGCGAATAAATTTTAAAATCTCAATTTCTAAATTCCTAAAATTACAAATATATTTATTTTTCTTATATTTAACTTTAAAAACTGGAAAAAAAAAACTATTAAAACCTGAGAAAAATAGTTAATTTTGAGTGTATTTACTATTTTTTAATGTTAAATATAAGAAAATAAATATATTTGTAATTTTAGTGGTTTAGAAATTGAGATTCTAAAATTTATTTTTAGTTTGGACGTATTTAGGTCAAATACCGTTAAATAAGGAATGTCGAGGGAGTTAGACGTAGAGTTTATGAAACCACGAGGGAATTTGACGCAGTTTTAGAAGTATAGAAGATTTGACGCAATTTTTTGAAATTACATATAAATTTTGTGCAATTTAGCCAAAATATATTAATAAAAAATAATTGCAATATAATGAAAATAATTATAAATTAAAATTAATATAATTAATTAGTATAATTAAAATTAAAAAATTATAATTTTAAATTTTAAAATATAATTAAAATATATAATATTTTTTTTAAAAAAAAATAATATAAAATATGGGAGGTACGCAGGCATATACGTGGAAATAAATTGATAATATTATATTTATGACGTGGATTGATTCAAAGCCCAGCAATTGTATTGAGTAATATTGGGCAAGCCCATCTGTCTTAATAACTAGGGTTGAGCAAAATATCCGAAACTCCAATATGAACTAAATCAAAATTTAAAATTTGGTTTGAATTTTTTAGATTTTCGGATTGGATCAGATTGAATTTTTAACAAATTTTGGATTTTCGGATCAGATCGGATCGGTATACTTAAAATCCGAACAAATCCAGAATCCGAAATATAATATTTTAATATATTTTTTTATTATACATATTTAATATTTTATTAAAAAATATTATATTTTAATATAAAAAAACTCAAATTTATGAATTATATTTTAATATATTTAATTTTTATATATATTATATATATTTAATATTATAAAATAATAATAAAATATAAAAGAAATTTAAATTTTAAAAAAATAATAAAAATATTTAGAATTTCGGTTTTTTGGTTTGGTTCGGATTTTTTAGTTCGGATTACGGATTTCGGATTTCGGTTCGGTTCGGATTGGTTTTTTCAAAAATTTCGGATTTTCAGATCGGTTCGGATTTTGCGAAATCCGAATGCTCACCCCTGTTAGTGACTGAGTTTTTTGTTTTTGTTTTTTTTAAAAAAAAATTTCACATATTTTTTCAAAAACTTTAAAATATTTCAATAAAAAAAAATTACATAAACTCATTATTTTTATATTATCTATATAATTATTTAAACTCCACAATAAAAAAAAAAAATAATAATAATAATAATAATTCAAATCAAATACAAAACAAAACACACATTAGGTAAATATTGGTCCATAAATCAATAAACACCTTTATTGTGGGGTTTAATTAGAATCCCGACATAAGTTTTTATTATTTTCTAAAATATTAAAAATAATAAATATATGAATATTTAATACGCTCGGAAAACTTATTTATTTTTATTTAGAGATCAAAAAATAATAATATTTAAATATTAATATGAGATGAGTAAAAAAATAAAATATAAAAAACAAACTTATTAAGAAGTTGACAAAAAAATAATAAGGCAAGTTTACAAAATAGCAATAAAATTATTATTATTTGTAAAATACGAATAATAAAATTACAAGAGAATGAGTGTATTTTTTCACAATTTTCAAAAGATATATTTCTCTAAAAAAAGATAATATTTTACACACACTTATTATTTTTATATTATTTACATAATTTACTATATTCCACATAAAAAATAATTTTTTCAAAAAAAAATCACTAAATAAACACAGAATATTTTAGTATAAATAGACAGTATAAGTTTAGCGGGCATTATATATATATATATATATATAAAAGTGACATACTTTTTGACAAATAAAGAAATATATATTTTTTAATTGTGTATATTTTTATTTTTAAATTTTTATTATGCGAAGAGTTTACATTATTTATGATTAAATTAGAATAAAATTTTAGAATTTAAATTATATTACGAAACATGTTGATATTCAGTGTACCTTTTTAAAAAAATTCTATAAATATACACCTTTATTTTCAATGAAAAATTTTTTGAAAAGAAAAATACTATGAGATAGCTCAAATAAAGTAGTTTCAATAATATTTTCCTATAGAAATTTTTTTCCATAACACTATTAAAGATAATTGAATTTAAAAAATCTTCAGTTAGATTTGATTGATAGGCCAAGATTTTGGAATATGATCTCAATCAAAGCAACGCAGCAATACGAACTATATTTGCAAAGAGGGTCTTTTCAACCACGTGGTTATGTATTTCCAACAAATACAATTGGAAGTAAGATATAGAATTTTGTCCCAAAATAATCTGACGAGTAAAAATGTTTTTTCAACCGAGTAAAAATGATAGATTTGGCATCACGTAGGTGATGTTTTTAGTTTTTACATAAAAACACAAGAAAAATATAAAAATCCAATAATATATTTTGTATTTTGTACGATGTGTATAATATATTTACGGTGTGTTAGATATATATATTGCACTGTATATAATTATATAATATGTTATTAAAATATACTCTCTTCGTCTATCTCTAAGAGTCATATTTATCATTTGCGTCATTGTATTTAATATTAAAAATATTTTTATATTTGTATTATTTTTGTACAAATATTCTTCTATTATTGTTATAAGACACTAATGAAAATATTTTTGTAAGTCTTTCTTAAATTGTACTTATGTTTTGATATATAATTAATATTCAAATATCAACATGTAAAAAGTAAATGAGATCCTTAAAGTCGGACGGAAGTAGTATGTTATATATTGTACTCCCTCCGTCATAATATTATAATCTTGTTTACCATTTTTGTCCGTCCCAAAACAATAGTCTTATTTTCATAAATAATCATATCACTATAAAACTATTCTTACTTTTTCATTAATATTACACAATTGCCACTATTTTTTACACTAATATACTCACAAGGGCAAAAAAATCATTTATCATTACTTTTTACCAACTATCAATATAATATTAATATTTTTTAAATCCCGTGTCAAACACAATAAGACTATGTTTCTGGGACAAAAAAAAGTATTATCATGCACAATCTAAAATATAGTCTCTTTTATAAAAATATGTTAATCAGATCAAATCAGCTGACCTTCTAATTTTTTTTCTTTAAGAAATACTCCCTCCGTCCCATGTAATATGAGTGCATTACTATAGACACGTGAATTTAGGTAAAATATAATTAATAAGTAATTAATAAATGTATTAGTAAAAATAATTATAGATTAAGATTAAGATAAATAAATAATTTAATTAAAATTAAAAAATTTATAAAATTTATAATTTAAAATGCTATTAAAGTGCATAATTATATTTTCAAAAATAAAAAGAACAAGTTATGTGGGACGGACGAAAATAAAAATAAGGACAAATTACGGGGGAAGTAGAGAGGAATCAACAACACAAATGTTAAACACGTGATGTTGTTTTAATTAATTTATAATAAATAATCCTTAAACATCTGAACTGAACAAGTCGACGATGATAATGATAATAATAATAATATATCACGTGTCTGCAGCATTTAAAACGTTTTGTACGAAGTCAACCGTTGGATAAATTTGCATGTAGTTTTGGCTGTTACCTCAACCAATCAGAGGAGGCCATCTGGAATCTGTTCTTTTTGACCGTTCCTACTTTTTGTAACGCCGTATATTCTAAGGGTGTGCTTCTTTTTGCTTGTCTTTGGAAAAATTTGGTTTTAATTTAGTATTAAAATAATGTTTGATGTGATGTTTCGTAAAAAAAATATATATATTTTTTAAATATAGAGTCCAAATAGTAAAATTTGAAAAAATTTGTCAAAAGAAACATACCCCACGTATCCGTCAGGTGTCGCTGACCTGACGGGACACTTGGCGGACATGTGGCTTCCGGCGAGCCACGTGGACGTCTCTGGCGTCGAAGGACTAAAATAACGAAAATTTTCCACTTATGGGACTAATTTGCGACATACTCTACTTACGAGGCTAAAATGATAAGGAGTCCAATTACGGAACTAAAAAAAACAGTTTATCATTTTTTATTTTTTTTAAATAATGTGGAAATTCGCAATAGCTCGTGGTAAATTTTTTGCCGAACTTAATAAATTGATGTTAAATTGCTAGCATATTTATTAAAAAATAAAAAAATAAAAAAATTAATTTGGAATGAATCAAAATAAAATAAATACTTTTCTCTCCGTTATGCCAAAATGACATCATTTTCTTTTCTAATTTTTGTGTGACGGAGAAAGTACATTGATACGAGACGCCGTGTATAATTGTACATAGTTATGTTTTTTTTCAGGTTTGTGGTCACGTCTATCATGTTACGTATTCACGTCAATAATTTTTGTTAGTTTTTTAATGATAAGATCAAATTGATTAAAATTATTTATAATATGACCAAAATTAATAGAATTTAGTTATATTTGGACCAAATTGATTTTTCTTTGTAAGTAATATAAAAGTAAATTTCCATTTTAGAATTATTGAAGTTTGTGATTTTATAGAATATATTTTATATGATTGAATGCATAATTATACTATTTTTGTTCCAACTGAAAATACTGATTTTATCATTTTGATAAGATTCATTCAAAAATATATATATTATCTATTATAAAAAAAAATAAAAATAAGTACACACTAAAATAAAAATATCTCTAATTTTTAGATAAGTCATAAATATACCAATACATATATACATAAATTATAAAAGACAAAATGTCAAAATCATCTCACACGTTTCTATTAAACAATAAAATTTATTTATTTTTTGATAATGCGAGAACTCACAGCCGCTGTCCGAAAGTGCGCACGGGGTAAACCATCGGCCGAATCTAGTACTCTGCAAACTAGGTCCGACAGAAAAATCACACTAGGCAAACCATGTGTGGCAATAAAATTTATTTTTTAATCTATTACAAAAACTAAAATGAGTACTTCCGATCCGGACAAATGTAGTATATTTTTTATAATCAGTCTGTTAAAATAATATATTGTGTTGAATGATTGATTTTTTATAAATGAATAATATATCATATTAATATTTATATATATTTTTATTTTTTTTAATAATATTTATAGAAAATTATTTTATTGAAAAATATTGAACGAACATACTGAATGTTAATTATGTTGATTTTTTTTTATTAGGGGAATATATCCATTATTTTAATATAATATTATATATGAAAAAAAGAAATACTCTATCTGTTTTGTGTTTCTTATGCCATTTTATCTGAACATCCAAACTAACAAATAATAGTAATTTAGTATAAAAATAGTATTATAAAAAAATTATTAAAGTAATTATAAAAAATTAGTAATAAAGTCTATTATATATAATAAAAAATTATTATTATTGATTAAAATAAAAATAATAAAATTACAAGTAAATACTTACTTCTAGTTCAAATCTATATTTTACTTTTTTATTGTAAATGGAAAAAAAAAATACTTATTCCTAATTATAAAAAAAATGAATCATATTTTTTACTTTACTATTGTAAATGGAAAAAATTCTGTAATAATTATTATACATTTTTATTTAAATTTATATTCAAATATTTGAGTACACAATTAAATAACATAAGAATAACTAAGGTGTATTTATTTAGTCACATAGTTTAAAATAATACTACCTTTATGTCATAATTAAAAATATTACTATTTCTGTCGCAAATGTATGCTCATATGATCGGACACGGATTTTAATAAAAGTGAGTAATAGTGGTTATTTTTTTTTTTTATAGTAAAAAAAAATACAAAAATATAATAATTTTTTATTTAAAAAAGAAACGAAAATATTTTTCAATGACAACCCAAAAAGGTAAGTGAGCATTTGAATAATGGAGGGAGTATTTTTTTATTTTAATAAAAGTAATCATATACCAATACTAAAATATATTTAACTTTTACCTAAATTACAAACATACAGTTATATATATAATTACTTTCTACACAAAATAAAAAAGGCAAAAATGTCAAAAACCTCTTATATACACTTCCATTAAGTAATAAAATACTACTCATCTGTCTCATTGAAAGGATATCATTTGGTAGATTTTTAAATATTAAGGTTGTGTTTGGTACAGAGAAATGAGGCCAGAGAAATTTGAGTCAGACATATGAAACTTGAGAAATAAATCATTTCCATTTTTCTGTTTTCATTTCTCTCCCATATGCAGAAAAATAGAGAGAAATGATGTTGCAATATATGTTTTTTTTAATTTTTAATTTTTTTTTTGTACTATTTAATTTTTATAATTTTTTAAAAATTAAAATATGAAATTCATGAATTCTCATTCGTTAAAACTCTCTTTTTATCGAGTTAATTATTTATTTTTGTTTGATCATTCATATATCTACAATTTTTTTAGATTTCTCAAATCTCTGTTTTATCAAACAAGAGAATTAATTCTCATTCTCTACTCAATTCTATTTCTCTCAAATTTTATTATCTACTCTCATTTCTCTGCAATTCCATTATCTGTACGAAACGCCCCTAGTATTATATTAATTGTAACAAAAAGACAAAAATACCACTATTAGTGTGATGTAATATAAAATTTTTGATATTTGTGTAATATATTGTAAATTGAAAGAGTATTTATTATGCTACATAGATAGTATAATTATTAAATTAGAAAATAATAACAGGACCGACAAAAATAAAAACTAATAATCTTTCAACGAGACGAAAGAGAATAATTTACTATAAAATCGGACCTATTTGGACGAGAACAAAGGAACTATTTATTTTATTTATTTTTACATGAGACATAAAAAAATTATTTAGATAATAATATAAAAATAATTAATATGTATAATATATTAATTTTTTATAAAAAAATATATTGGAAAAATTACAAAAACAACACGACGCTATTTCCTGTCTTATTAAATTGTACTGTACACGTTTTTTTTTTTTTTTTGTAAAAAAATAATAAAAACAAACACTCCCCAGTTAACAAAACATGTGTGTGGAAGGTACTTCACAATTCTCATTCTCAACCATATATATATATATATATATATATATATAATATTATAATAATAACCAGTGTTGTATATTCTCAATCTGTTCTGTTCTTCGCCATCATCCAAACTGCTTTCATCTTCTCCCTCCTCAATTCCTCCTTCTTTACTCATCACAATCTGAACCTCAACTACCCTGAGCCTAATGTTTGTTTGAGTTCGTGATTTTCCAACTTCACTTTAATCTCCATTCCTGTGGAGTGGATGAGTGAGCGAGAAAGAGAAAGAGAAAGAGATTCATCTTCTTAATGTGAATCAGCTCTGTGGATTCCAAAAGTTTCAGTTTCTGCAACTGGACAGAAATTGTGTGTTTGTATATATATATATATATATATATATGCACGTATATATAGAGAGAGACTATAGAGAGAAGACAGAGTGGTAGGTGTGGCGGTTTTAACCGTCTATTGCTTTCGTTTTGCCGAGGAGTTAAGAGACCGAAATGGTCGATCTGAATGTTGATGCGGCTTTTCTCGGCGGCGGCGGAGGTTTAGCTTCCTGCGACGGAGGAGACGAGGAGGTGGAGATGATCCAATTGACGGAGACGGCGGCCGATTCTGTTACTTCCACCACCACCTCCGCCACCAACAATGCCGCGGCGGCGGCCGATGAGGTCGACTGCAACAGCTCCACGGGGAAGAGCGCGGTGCGGACAATCAATTTCTCAATCCTCGATAAGGACGCCGTCGATGAGATTGAAGACGATGCGAATGACGCTTTTGCTCAAAGCAGAAACGAGCTGCAGCTTTTTCCGATGTCGTCTCCGTCGCCGTCGCCGTCCCCGGCGACTGTTACAGCTACCTACTGGCTGGACATTTCTATGCCGGCGAACTCTGGCAGCGTTGTGGCAGAATTGGGGGTTCCCATGGCAGCGCAGTTCTCCGCCAATAATCTGGTCCCGGCGCCGCCGCCGCCTCAAGCCAAAAAGAGCCGCCGTGGACCTCGCTCCCGGAGCTCGCAGTATCGAGGCGTCACTTTCTACCGGCGAACTGGAAGATGGGAGTCACACATCTGGTACACCCCTACATATCTCCGATCATATACAACACGCATATGCTAAAGTAACTTGTACATGCTGCTGCTGTAATTGTACTTTTGACAGTAGCAAATTCCGTACCCAAATTTGGGAATATTCTCAACATTAGTTTGTGCTTGTTTTGGGTGATTGAGATTGATTAACTAGCCTGTGATTTGAACTAGTTATTTGCAAGATTCGACAACTTTTTTGCATTAATTTGGACTGAATCCTGATGTTCTCCTTGCAGGGATTGTGGCAAGCAAGTCTATCTAGGTAAGAACAACGAACCCTCCATTTTTGCCTATTCGATTTGGGGATTCTGTCTTTAATCATTCATCAAGTTTTAGCGATTTGGCTGTTGTTTTCTGTTCAGGAGGCTTCGACACAGCACACGATGCGGCACGGTAAGAATTTGAATTTCAGTCAAGATGTTTCACCATTGATTAGCGTAGGGAAGTTTTCTTTAATCTTTACAGTTACCTTGTCCAGAGCTTATGATCGTGCTGCGATTAAGTTTCGTGGAGTCGAAGCTGACATCAATTTCACTGTCCATGAGTATGAACAGGACATGAAACAGGTTTGCAGCTATAGCCTATAGTCGCTGCCATGCTTTTTGTATTTAAGCTCAATTGTGTTAAAACATCATTGCCAATCTGCAGATGATGAACTTGTCGAAAGAAGAGTTTGTTCGAATACTTCGGCGCCAAAGCAACGGGTCTGCAAGAGGTAGCTCGAAGTACAGAGGTGCAGCCCTGCAAAAATGCAATCGATTCGACACTCGAATGGGTCAATTCCTGGGGAAGAAGTAAGTCCATTCTTCCAACATTATGGAGTTATTTAGAAAGTAGTCTTCATTGAAATTCAAAACTTTCAAGAAAAAACTGACCCCTTCCTGTTTTTCTAACATATTGATTTAATTCACATATGAATCGTGATTCTTGAATCCCTGTTTGCTTATATGACTGTTTTATGGCAATATACATTTTTTGATCAATTCTAAATTGAATGAAGGAATGAAAGGGGAATCCATTTTGGTTTTTTCGCTTCAGGGCATATGATAAAGCTGCCGTCGAATGTACCCGGAAGAAACCTGTCACCAATTTTGAGCCCAGTAACTATGCTAAGATGGACATGGTGTCCATGGATGGAGGTATGTTAAAGCTGTCTACCAGTTATGAAGTTGTGTCGATCTCAACTACTATGATATCATGTCTGAACAGACCTAATGAATGAAATCGATGTTAAAATGCATTTTTGAATATAAAAGATACGAGAAGTTTGATATTATACTAACTTTTCTCAGGAAGTTCAACTATGTCTGAGCTTGGCTTTAACCCAAGTAGTACATTTTGAGCCGAACTTTTAAAATTTACAATTTTCTTGTCAAGAAGAACTATGTCTTAGCTTGGCTTTAACTCAAGTAGCACATTTTGAGCCGAACTTTTAAAATTTAAAAATTTGAAGTCGAAGAATTAAGTTGATTTCAAGTTTCTCGACTTGCTCCGGAGCACCATTTTTAGGCCTCCTATGTTTTTCTTGATGTTTATAGGAAATAAGACTAATTTGAAGTCTACGGGATTGGTCTGTTTTGATGAATGCAGGTGATGATCAATGTAACCTTGATCTCAACCTTGGGATTTCCTTATCTTCTGGAAGTGGTCACAATGGAAATGACGACATGATTATGCGCTTTCTTCACGAATCGAGCGAATTTCCCGGCAAGGCGCGATTACAGGTACTCATCATTTCATAGCTCCTTCAAACTTTCCTCTACTTATCGATGATCTTGCTGAGCGAAACATCATTTGGTTGCATTGTCGTTTGAACATTGTGAAAATGAAAGCAATTTTTGCCACAGAAAAGTTCGATAAATAGACAAGGTATCCAATTTTACATCCATATGTCTTCTTACAACAAATTAATTTCAATTTTCTTTCGGTTAGGAAAGAGCTCCAGGAATTAACGCTGAAGCTGTTGCTGTGACTACACTCGCAAACTGGCAATGGAAAATGCCACTCGCGTCGTCTTCTTCTTCCGCAGCATCATCAGGATTCTCTTCCCCAACCGCGAAATATACATAGGTACACACATCCTGCGCCATTTTTCTGCTTCCTTCATTCTATCGAATAGATGTCTACCAGTAATAGATTCTTTTTACTCCTGAGAATTAAGTGGCCAGACTGCAAATAATACAGAATTTCGATTGTTGGATATGAGCTAAATAGATAGCGACAACTTTGAGGCGTTGAATATCTGATCACATACATTCGAGTGGTTTATAAAGCTAAAAGAAAGGGAAAAATATTACTTCTTACAATAGATATTTGTCGCTGCCTCGGATCTTTTCTGTTTGGGATTTCATAGGGAGGACTGCATAAAAGAACATGTCTCGAGTGAATTTCGTATAGATAATAATAGGTAAATGTCAAAGGAGATAATATAGCAGTACCAAGAAACGTTTTCTGTAGCTCTCGACATGCTCCTTTGGATCACGTTTGGTTATCTTATATGCCTCGATTTTGTCCATCTCCTACATAGGTTGTACGACAAGTTAGTCTCTCTTACTTAATCTGTCCTGTCGTATTAGCAGTTGTTTCTACGGTACCTCAATCCATAGGGCGAACTTTGGCCTTCCTATAGCGATGTCATAATTCTTTACATCAAAAAAGAAGGCTTGAAATCGCTCGATAAAAGGAACATAGGCAATGTCCACCTGAAGTGAATAAACTATTAGTTCATCCAAGAAAATTATAGCTCAAATGTTATAGTTCTTCCGTCCCAACTCAAAGTACTATTTTTACCATTTTAGTCGGTCCTACTTCAAATATCTATTTCCTAAAAGTAATTATACACTACTAAAATACCATTAATTTTTTACCTAAATTAGAAAGATAAAAATGTCAAAACCTTTAACACACTTCCACTAGTCAATAAAATACTACTCCCTCTGTCCCAGATATGGTGTCCTATACACGAAAATTTAGGAAAAATATAATTAGTAAATAATTAAGAGTGTATTAGTGAAAATAATTATTATTTAATAAAAATAATTTTAAATTAAAATTAAGATAACGAATTAGTATAATTATGATTAAAGGATTTTAAAATAAAATTAAAGTGTATAATACTTTTCCTAAAAGGAAAATGACATAATAAATGGAATAGATAAAAAATGGAAAGGTAGACATGGTAAGTGGGGACGGAGGGAGTATTATGTGTTTGTTTGGGGATTCAGATTTTGAGTTGAGATTTGAATAGTAAAAATTTTGAATTGAAATAGTTGTACGATGTGATATAAATAGGTAGTAATGTGATGTTTTGAATGTAAAATTGATTTTTAGTATAATATAAAAAATAAAAAATAGGTGATTGATTTGATATTTTCTTAGGAAAAAAAATTGATGAATAATGAAAATCTTGGAGAATCCTCCAAACAAATACACCCTTAATCTACTACATAACGCCAAAGGCCCCTTTGGAATGGGACCACGTAGGGAGTATATAAATCATGACACTTGCTAGTGATTATTTGACAAAGGAGAAAAAGAAGAAATTTCGATTACCAAACTGAATTGACCGAGAAAGAATGGTCCGTCATTGAATTTCGAGAGTGCAGTTTCGATGTGATCAAAAGCCGCGTCTGCATTGCAGATCATCATAATCATCTTCACAAAAGTAGGCGAAGACTCACTTTATGCAACGAAAAGAGACAAAACTCACCGGCTTCATTCATCGTGTTACCCTTGAGAGAAGTAATCACGGCCGTGTAGAAGGATCCGGCGTATTCTAGTAATTCTTCCCCAAACTCCCTCTTCGCCGCCTCCTACATTCACTCAACCTTATTATAGCTACAAAATCATCAAAATTCATACACAAACTAAGGCTATTGTTTACATATAGTTTTAGAACCTTTGACGCTAATCATCGACGTTAACTTTCTTTAAGAAAAATATCTAATCGAAGCCTAAAAGTCTTACCTTAGGAAAAAGCAATGGCCCTTCAAAGTTGGTATCGATATATCGAATCAAGTCAAGACTCTCCCCCTTAACTTGGTTATTGTGTTCTAGTGAAGGTACCTACTCAACACAATTCCAAGTTACAACCTAACTTGGTTATTGACATTACATCTCTATTTTTCGACCAAATGCCTGTCTGAAAGTTTACCTTGTTTTCGGGGTAAACTTTTTCCTTGTACCAACTTGGTCTGTTCTTCAGGTCGATAGGCACCAGTTTTATTGTTTCTTCAAGCCCCTAATAAAAAAATATAATAATTACTACTCCATTCATCCGTCAAATTGTCTGTCCGCTAAATTTCCTTTACTTTCCTTTTGAATCTGTCTGTTAAATTTACCCGATTATTAATTTTTTTGGCGAAATCAACAAATCAAATATTTAACTATTATCTACTTATTTACGACAAATACCACTAATACTATTATCTACTTATTTACGACAAATACCACTAATACTATTATCTACTAATATAATATAGGGTTTGTACTTTTATTTTTATTCCTAAAACTCCATCCAAAAAGCAATTTGTATGTAATTGTAAAGTTAGAAAGACGACCTTACAGTTCCTTGTAATCCAGGCGCGTTGAGCATAAGGACATGAATATGATATGTACAGCCTATTAATTAAAAAACAACAAATTCAATCAGAACAAAGTGGAACCCTAATTGGACGAAGCAAGAGGAAGATTGCGTGGAAGAGTTACAGAGGTGGTGAAAAGGCTTTTACTTAGGAGTTCCGTCAAAGATCGGCGGCGGTTCCGACGAAGAATCGAGAGCAGGCGGAAGAACCTCTCTTCCGCTGTCGAAAGCATTATTCATTCATCATTCGCCTCAGAATCGATCTCTATCGCGATTCCAGGAGATATAAGAAAAATTGGGGGAATTTAATACCTGGAAGCCATTGGAGAAGACGACGGTAGAGGTAGAGCTCGGGCGGTGGAGCGGTTATTTGTGAAGGAGAGGGATTGAGAAATTGGAGAGAAATGGATAATGCGGAGAGGGAGAGGGAGAGGGAGAGGGAGAGAGGTGTTGGGGCTTAAGGTTAAGGCTAAGAGCGCCATTGTACGGTCCCCGCTTTGTGACGATTGGATTTATTAATTTTAGGTTGTGTTTGGTGGTTTGGATTTTGAATTATATTTGGACTGTAAAATATTTAAATTTGAATAGTTGAATTATGTGATATAAATATGTATTTATGTGATGTTTTAAAAGTAAAATTAATTTTTAGTATAATATAAAAAATAAAAAATATATGTTTAATTTGATATTTTTTTTAAAAAATTTGTGGGTGAGTTGGTCGGTAGAAAATCAATTTTTTTTTTTTGGTTTGGACTGTTCGGTTGATTGGTTCGGTTTGATCCAAAACCAAATTTATAAATTTTGGTTATGATTTAATCAAAAAAATTGAACTTTTAAAAATAATAAAAAATTATATATTAATAAATAATATATATTATAATTTTGAGTATTTGTATTTGATTGTATATTAAAAATATATATTGATAAATAAAAGTTTAATTTTTTCGATTTTAAACCGAACCAAATCGAACTAGTTTGATTCGTTTTATTTAATTTTGAAAATATTTGATTCAATTTCAATTTTTTGAAACCAAAAACCGATTAAAATTGACGGGATGCACACCCTAGACTATTAATATTCAAATAACATATGAATAATATATTAATATTTTAGATTTAATTTTGGAAGAAAAATTTGTGGGAACAATATAAATCCCCTCCCCCAACCCCCTCAATCTCCTCTAATACACACAATATATATATGGTACTATCTCCGTCTGGTTCCAAGGGTCTCATTTATTTTTTGCGTGTTGATATTTGAATATTAATTATTATATCAAAACATAGTACAAATTAAAAAAAAATTGCATAAATACCTCAATTAGTGTCTTATAATACTAATAGAACAATTTTTGTACAAAAAAATTATACAAATATAAGTGTTGGAATATAAAACTGAAATTCTCTATTTTAATCATAAACATATGTACATATTTATAGTGATATACAAATAATCTAAATAAGACAGAAAATCCTATGAATATCTTAAATAAGATAACTATCATAAATATAATATATTGCTTCTAAATATATTTTAACACCCCTCTTCAAACTCAAGATATAATCGAACAAACTTGAATTTGTCAGAAGTGACCGAAAATAATATAACTGAGATCTTCCACGTATGGATTAGAATTCACCAAGATTGACTGAAAGTGATGTAGCCGTCCACTAGATCAAAGTCAGAACCAGAACTCTCAACCCCGTTAGAGTTGAAAACAAGACTCGCTCGCCCACAATGGAACTAGAATCGAAAACAGGACTCGCTCACTCTATAAAGTTAGAGTCGGAAGCAAGACTCGCTCGCTCACAACATAGTTAGAGTCGGAAACAGGACTCATTCGCTCTCAATAGAGTTAGAATCGTAAACAGAACTTTCAACGATGTTAGAGTCGAAAGTAGACTCTGTCAGTGGAGCAGTAGAAATGGAGACGACATGAAAATAACAACATTATCATGAATAGAAGCAGGTACATCAATAATATATAAAAATATATATGGGATATAACGGATCTTGGATGTACCCGGAGAGAATTTGTCTCTGATACCATGTTAGAATATGAAACTGAAATTCTCTATTTCAATTATAAGCATACGTGCATATTTATAGTGATATACAAATCGTCTAAATAAGACAAGAATTATACGAATATTTTAAATAAGATAACTACCATAAATATAATATATTACTTCTAAATATATTTTAACAATAAGAATATTTTTAATATTAAATATAATGACGCAAAATGTAAATATGATCTTGGCGGACTGATAGAATATATAAATACATATAATATATATGTGTATCACTTTGTGTGAAAGGCGAGACGAGGACCTGAGTATCCTATCCCATTTTTCCCCCTATATTTGCAAGTCGACAAGAGAAAATGCCTCTCCCATGCACATTGTATTTTTGCATATAGCACCCTTTCAATACGCTTTGGGACACAATAGGATAATACAATATGTAATACATATTTTTGGCAATACATTATAATTTTATGTAACATTATATATTATTAATTTTAATAGAATAATTATATTTATATAATAAAATACAACATATAAAATTTACATTATAATTTTATGTAACATTATATATTATTAATTTTAATAGAATAATTATATTTATATAATAAAATACAACATATAAAATTAACAAGTTATACTTCTGTATGATACAATATTATATTGTATTGTATTAAAATATATATTGCCTTTTTATATATTTGTGTCGAGTGGGTCAAATTAGCCATAATCGCCACTAGAATTGACAAAAACTAATCCGACCTGATAATCCGATTTGAACTTGACCTGAAATAGTTGGGTTTGGGTTGAGATTTTTGACCCAATTAATAATTGGGTCAAATCCGTTTAAATTTTAAATATCTTTTTTAAATTTGATCAATACAATTCAATATTTATGACCAATTTTATAAAAATAAACAATAAAAAAAGATTGTGTTGTGTACTATTATGTAGCGTTTGCTAATTCAATTTTTGAATATCAGTTTCATGATATGAATAAATAATTTTTTGCTTTAATATATATACATATTATGCATTTAAAATTTTTGTTAGTATCATTGTAATTTTAAATTAAAATTTAAAATTTTTAGATTTAAACGAGTTATATGAGTCAGATTCAGATTGATCCAATTAATAAAAGGTCAGGTTAAAGTTGCAAATATCAACCCATTTAATTTAATGGTCAGGTTCAGGTCAAGGGTTTTATAACCCGTTTAAGATGATCCGAACCTGAATCCGACCCGACCTGATCCGTTTTGCAGCCTTATTCGCCACCCTCCCAAACTGGAGATTATTTTATTTTACTTTTAATTATAAAATAATTTTAATTTACTGGTAAATTATATTTATGTTCTACTTATTTTATAAATTTTGTAATTTTTTATTATTTAAAAACAATTTATTTTTATATATTTATATTTTAATTCTGTAATTGATATGTATAGTATATTATTGATATATTTAATTTCTATTGATATTTATAGTTAATTAATTTATATAATCTTGATAAATTGTTTAAAATAATTAAATTGGTATAATATTTAAAATATTATTATAAAATACTCTCTTAGTTGCAATTCAAATGAATCTTTTGAGTTTTTTAATATATTAAAAAATAATAATAATATTTTATTGATTATTAAAATCGTATAAAATGATTTAAACATGTAAGTGAAATGATATGTATGCAATTATATAATAAATATATATATATATAAAAGTTGAAGGCTATTTTTTCTATTAATGTATTACTTCTAAGAAAAGAAATATTTTTGGTGAAATAGATGAAAATAGTAAAAACAGTACTGTGAGTCAGGATAGAAAGGAGTGTATATATAAATAGGGAAGGGTTACTGTGCTGGATTTGGAAAATCAACACTGTGCAGCACATGTAAAATATAGTAACGACACATGCTTTTATTACATACAACAAATGTTGTTCGTAATAAAGACATGTATTGTTTGTTCATAACTACAACATGTATTGTATGAGAGTATGTTATCTGCTAAAATCAATAGTTTGTATGTGCTGTGTGAGAACATATTATGTTCTGTTAGTTCATGTGCTGTATTTGTATTATATTAACGTATGTTGTGTGTTGTATGTGGTTATACTATGTGTTGTCCGTTAGCACACGGTTACATTTCAGCATTGTAGCCGCGGCCATATAAATAATATAAAATATTAGAGTACCGGCCGAGCTCACATTAAAACGTGATTACCATGGACCATTGAAGACCTTGAGACACCTGAGTCCCTTTCGCCGGTGCTCGAGGAGAAAGAAAAGTCGTTCAAAATTTTGAGTTCTTGTTGGGAAAAGAAGATCGGAGAATTGAGAAGGTCAACGTTGTTCGGAGCCGGCACTATTAGGGACCGCATCGAGCTGCCCGGAGAAGCAGTCTGATGAGCCGCCGCCTCAGGAACAGTTGCCGCTGTTCTTGTCGAACAAAGTGATTATTATTTGATAAAGTAAATATAATAAAATCGTAAGTGAATGAAGGTGTTAATGAGCCGAACTGAGTTGAGGTTTGATGTATGTTTGAGCTTGGCCATCAGGGACTCGAGGTTGTTTCGTATTCATTAGTTGAAAGTTATGAGCTGAATTTTTATTTTTATTTATTTATTTATTTATTTATTTTTTTAACTTTGACTAGTTAAACAATTAATTTGTTTGTGTTTGGCTCAGCTTGTTAATTTTTTTTATTTTATTTAATGTTAAATTCAATTAATAATAATAATAATAATAATTTATTAATATATTTATAAACAAATTAGAATTATATATAATATTAAAGATATATTTATTAAATATTGTGTTGAATATTATCCCACGTTGCTAAATGTATGGAACTCCCTAATATATAAGGGTGAAGGACCACTCTACAATTGGTGATCGGTTGGATGCCTGGATTTCTTCTTACATATAGAATATTAATTTAATTTTAGCACGAATAAGTTCGAGTTCATTCATTAACATAACGAGTTGAACCGAGGGTGAATAAAGTTGTTTAGTATAAATAGATTATGCATAAGTTTAACAGACAAAAATAAATAAATAAATAAATAAATAAATTAACATAATTATTTGGGATGAAATGAGTAATATTTTTCTTCACAAAAAATGAAGCAAGAAAGAAGGTCATAGCAATGTTATATGCAGAATGTAATAATTCCAAACATTATCTAAATATTACAATCTCAAATATGAATAATTGCAAACTTAGACTAAATAACGACAAAGGCAACATAACATCTTCTTGAATGATTACTGCCATAAAAAATGTTGATAATTGCATAAATTTATCGCAGATTTTGTCGATAATTAAAAATCATAGAGAGTAATTTCGTGATAAATTTATGTCACAACTTTTTATTTTGACTGTTTCGTGGGTAATATTTGCAGAAAAAGTTACAAATAAATTCTTGTGAGTATTTAAAGTAAGGACTTATGTAACGAAAATGTCAAAATATTTTTATTCCGTGTCTTTTGACAATTTCGTCACAAAAATTGTCACAATTTTTTTTCGTGACTATTTTAAGTTGAAAAAAAAAAACCAAAATACTTGCAACATTTTAAATTAATACAGATATTGTCATGATATAATTTCGTGACTTTTTAAAATTAAAAAGTCACAACATAAGTAACGAAAACAACCATAACAACCATTCATAACATACAAGCAACAAGCAAAAAGTCGATTAACACGCATTCAAATCAGATTGATAGAGAGAGAGAACACATACCACAATGCTCAACTTTGAAGTAAATCTAAGTTGATGCAATCTACAAGATAAGTTTGAGTTCCATGATCATCCGTTTCGGCTTCTATCTCACGCGGCGCTGCAAATGGTCTTGAAGGCATCCGTGGTTCGGACTCACTTTCAAGCATTTCTATTACTTTGTTGATAGGAAGTCGATCGGATGGTCTCATTTGTATGCACCACATTGCGACTATCATAATCTTTTTCACCATTCTTTTTTCCTCTTCGCTTGCATCTTTCATCTCGATGTCCTTTCCTGCACATAGTTGGTCATATATCCACATCGGGAAGTAGATTTGAGTTGTTTCTTCAACCAAATGATTCGTGATTTTCCTTTTCCCCGCCATTTCCATCAACATCATTCCAAAGCTATATATATCAGCCTTGTAAGATATACCTCCCATGTTTTTGTAGAACATCTCGGGTGCCATGTATCCCATTGTTCCTCTTGCACCCGTTAAATTTATGAAGCTCTCATTGGTGGGGTGCAATCTTGCAAGCCCGAAATCAGATATCTTTGGATTGAAATTCTCGTCGAGTAGTATGTTGTGAGGTTTGATGTCAAAGTGTAGGATTTGCATATCACAACCATGATGCAAATATCCAATTCCACGCGCCACTCCAAGTGCAATTTCAAACATTTTGTCGAGCGTCAAGGCGAGCACTCCTAAACTTTGTTCGTTGAAGATATATCTATCGAGGGAACCATTAGGAAGAAACTCATATACCAAAGCATACTTTGAGCGTTCGATACAAAACCCAACGAGATGCACTACATTGACATGGTGGATTCGCCCGATTGTGCCAACTTCATTGATGAATTCTTCGACCCCGGCTATGGTTTGGTCTAACATCTTTACCGCCACATAAAGACCACTTCGAAGCTTTCCTTTATAGACAGTTCCATAGCCTCCTTCACCCAATTTTTCGTTAAAATTGCTCGTCATTTTCTTGACATCCGAGTAACTGTATTTTATGGGTGCAAAATCATGTTGATCTTGTAAAAACTTTTCAATATTTGTATCATTGCATAAATGGCGTCTTCTCCATTTATGGATCACCAACCACAATAGAAGAGGAAATCCAACCATAAATCCAATTGCCAATCTTATAGATAAGATCTCACCTACATTATTTCGTGAAAATATATATATATATATGTATATCAAATAGGAAGAATTGTTTGCAATCTCATGGTTAATTTGTTTAGAAAAAAATGACATGTCTGTCAACTTTTCAGTATGATTTTGCATTGCACAATTTACAATTAAATATATTTTTGCATTTAAACTCATTCTATTCCTATCAATTGAGTGTATACATTTATTTAACACATAACATCAAAAATTATTTTATATAAAACAAAATTATAAAAGCCAAAGCAACTTGAAAATTCATTTAAATGCATAGATAATAACTTAAAACATGGGAAAATTGCAAAAATATCCTACTACACGTATACCTCATTATCACTTTTGTCTTGTATTTATCTTGCTTACAAAATATATCTCACATGTTTACAAAAGTCGTTATTTCTATCATTTGGCCGCGTGTGGCCGCACGTGATTGTGCGTAAGGGCGCGTGGTGTGAATGTGACGCGCGGGCAAAGGACATAAATAGCGATTTTTATAAACATGTGAGATATATTTTGGTAGAGAGATAAATACAGGACAAAAGTGATAATATGGTATAAATGTAGGATATTTTTTGCAATTTTATCCTTAAAACATCGTTTAAACATTAGTTATAAAATGATTTTTTAAAAAAAATCCAATCTTACCAATTGTCCAAAGAACCGTAACCATTGTCCCTGTAAACAAAAATATATAAAATTAAAGTATAAAAATATATAAAAATTTTAGAAGAAAAGCTCACAAGATTCCAAAGTAGATTGGATCTGAGAAAAGTACATTGAAGTCCATGAACATATCTACCTGTAAAATTTCAAATTAGTATATAATGAGTATATACAATTTGAAAAGAAAACTACAATTATGATAAAGTATCACTGCTACTTATTTCTCAATTATTGACCATAAGTGATAAAAAATATCGTCTATAATAAGTTATAATCATGAATTAAAGTGTAAAATCAAATAAATTTGAAGTATAGAATGGAATTAAACAATATGGTTTGACAATTTATAATTCTTTTAAATGAGATAATTTGATAATTAAGTGATACAATAAGAGAGAAAATTGTATATTTTATTTGAGACGGACGGAGTAGTAAAATATGAAGTAGACATCAATTAAGTGACACTTACAACGAAAAGGTGAGTAACGATATGAACAACATCTTTCCCTCACAATGTGACTGGGAGCTGAGGCGAAATAGGGAACCTCCCGTCAACAACCTTTTTTATCGATTCTCCACCACGAAAGCTCAAACCCATAAGCCAAGGCCTCGTAAATATCGATGAACGATGACTTATTGGTAATAGACGAGCGCGCGGACACCAAAAGCACCTTATCCACCGTGCAAGACTCTTCTAAATCCGACAAAGATAGATAAGGATCTCCAAGCACGACATAACTATAGAATCGGGAAGAATTTCCAAAATGGATGGTTTTTGTTGTGTTGCCAAAGAAAGGGGCTCTAACATAATTATTATTATTATTATTATTATCATCGTTCGCAATAGCGGACGACAAACAATGAATGAATGCTGCTTCTTTGTTTAAGGGGACCGTGCCATAGAAGTGGTAGGAATCACCAAAGTAGTATGATTGGCTACTACAGGAGGAGAGGTCTCCCGGCGTATTCGTATTGATATTGATGCAAGCAGGGTCGAATAGTCTTATCCGCTCTTGTTCATAATTGATACTTAGCACCAAAAGCATCCTTGATTTGTATTGCTTCGTAGCAAAATCTAGTCCTTGGATATTGAGAACTGTCTGGTTATTACGGCAATCGAGCTGGAAATTGATGTCGTCCAATCCGCAATGGGAAGGATCAGTGCTGAGTCGAAAAGGGTAGCTTATGCGCGTGATGTTGCCGCAGGAAGAAGGAGGGCATTGGTGGAATTGGGATCGGGATGGAGTGACATAAGTGACGAAAATTAGTTGCAAGACAACGAGGAAGAAGACATGAATTAGGAGGACAGACATTATGGTCTTATTAAGGTTTAGGGTTTATAAAGCTAGACTTCATACAATTAATCGAATCGTTGGATCAATATATAAGATTATTGAGTATGATCGAATCTACTTTGGGCATTGGTCATTTTTTATTATCACATATATGCATCTCAACACCTTTAAGTTGAGTTCTTTTCGTGGGTTTTCAACGTATATTTTTATTATTTATATTTTTTTAAAAAAAAAATATCAAATCAAACTATTATACTTTTTATACATATATATTATACTATAAATCTATTTCATATTTAAAATATCACGTCAAACGTCTATTTATATCACATTAAAAAATTATTTAAATTCAACTTGTTACTCCTAAAAATATTTTCAATCTCAAGAAGTACACACACAAACAAACACACCCTAGTGGCCATGGAAAAACAGAAGCCACTTGCCAATCCATCATGACTTGACCAAGTCTTACTACGTACTCTGAGAAATTGATTTTACAATATAAAATATATTATTTTTAATTAAATATTTAATTTTTTATTTTTTTAATAAATATTTAAAAAAAATAATTTATTTTTTATATGTTACAGAAAATTGCATAAAAAGTATAAAATATATTTTTTGAAAACGTCATTCCAAAAAATTATTGCACGCAACAAACCCTATATGTATATATATTATCATTATGAGCTCTTTAATTAATTATATATATATATATATGTTAATTAAAGTTGATTGTTTTATGTACTATAAATAAATATTATATGTAATATTTTGAATAAAAAATATATAATAAAAAATATAAAAATATTTTTAATGTTATTTTTAGAAACAGACGAATAGAGTATAATTTTCTTTTAAAAAGAATGATAAAAAAGAAGAATTAAATATAATGCTTTTAGTAATTAAGAGAAAAATTATAAATAATGTGATCAATATTTCAAAATAAAATAAGCAAGTTATGAAAAATATTTTGATCTTTAGAAATTGTACTAGTCTATAGAATGATAAATAGTTATGAGAATTATTTTAAATATTCTGTATAAGTTATTATTAAATGTATTCACTACAAAAAAAAAAAAAAAATAGTATATTTGTAACGGAATTATGTTCCTAAAGTTCACGTAGCTAACGATAATTTCATTCCTAATTCCATCTCTAATATCATTAGTAACGGAAAAAGTAAATTTAAGAACGAAAAAATGTTGTTACAAAACTGATATATATATATTTTTTTTGTAGTGATTATGCAATATTAAGAGTTTATTTTTCAAATCAAAATTACTATTTTTCAGGCTATAATGTCCAAATAAACACAAATTATTTATTCTTATAAATATCAAATTAAATTATATTTAAATAATAATTTAAATTCAAATCAAAAGTAAAAAGATATTAAGTACTTCCTTATTTATTTATTTTAGAAAATAAAATTATTTCAAAATCACATTATATACTTTCGAGAATATTTTAGATAATACATTCTTAAACTATATATCACACATACCCTCCACCGGGCGTGGTAAACAGGGGTTCATTATATATTTATATTATATATATATATAATTTATGTATTAATAATTTATTTGATATACATAAATAAAAAATGATTGTAGTTTGGTAGTATAGAGATTAATTTTTAATATTAGTCTAAGTTTAAATCCTATGTGTCTCAAACATTAAAAAATATTTTTTATAACTATTTTTCATCTAAAAATCTTAAAAAATTATTTTATTTATATTTTATTATAAATAAAAATATATTTTATATATATATATATTGGGGCCTATATATTTTGTGGCTCGAACCCTTCCAAAGTCAAGACCGGTCTACACACATAAACTATTAATATCTCTTAATCTATAGACGAAAAGTAAAAGAATGCATGCATTTCGGATAAAAGGAGTATTCTATTTTTATCACTCTTAATGAATAAATATGTATATACATATATATATATATATTTATTTAAAATCCACCTATCTATATTTGATATCAATTTATGCTAATTATATATACTTTTAGATAAATTGAATTTTATTCGTGGTATAGAAAATTGTGTCAAAATATAGGGAATAGTTACGGTGCTAATTTAGAAGATTAAGCACGGTGCTGATTTTTCAGCACTTATAATATATAGAAACAACACATGTTCTTATTACACACAACACATGTGATGTTTGTTCAGAATTATATGGACGTTGTATAAAACTATATTATATACTCCCTCCGTCCCAAACACCGTGCAACATTTCCTTTTTGATATGTCTCAAACACCCTGCAACATTTCCAAAATAGGAAATAATTAATTATACATAATCTCTACCCCACACTTTATCCCCCTCACATCATCCAAATAAAAAAATAAAATATATATTTCACTCTCCATCACATCACCCAATTTCTAAATTATTATACTTAATACTACCCACCTAAAAACTCGTGCCAAAAATAAATGTTGCACTTTGTTTGGGACGGATGGAGTACTAAAATCAACTGTCGTGTATTTTATATGATTATAGCATGGATTGTTAATTCATGTCAGTACAAGAAAAAATTATTTTTGTAACAAAATTTTTTTGTCTCTAAATCTACTTTTTGTGTTACTAATGACATTAGAGACGGAATTAGAAATGAAATTACGTTGGCTACGTGAACTTTAGGGACAGAATTCCGTTACAAATATATTATTTTTTGGTAGTGTGTGTTGTATTTGTATCATATTAATATAAAAAATGTGTTGACAGAAATAATACGGTACACTCGTTTGTTATTTTGACTTTGTAACTTTTTGTAATGAGTATTTGAACTTTTTTTTTTTTTTTTTTTTTACTTTTATAAGAAGTATTTTGTAGTATTTGTAGTATTATTTTTTTGAATCATAATGAAAAAATAGTGTTGGGTAATGGTGAGCAAAATATCCGAAATCCGAAAATCCGATCCAAATCAAATCGAAATATAAAATTTGGTTCGAATTTTTGGGATTTTCGGATTGGTTCGGATTGAATTTTTGAT